GGCGTACAATTGGTCCAGAAAATACAATCGTTTACTTTGTTAATTGTCCCGGCGGCAGCGGTTCGGCGGGTCCGTCTCGATGGTTGGCAAAGGAAAAACTGACCGGAGGTGTAGGCGTACTGGGTTTTTATATTGTTAGGACAGGGAGACAGGAGTAGCGATAGATAAAGATAGAAGTGGAGAAAGTGGTGGAAACGGAACGTCCTCGTACGAACCTGGATGCCACATGTGCGCTTCTTAGGCTACTCGAGGACGAAGGCAAGTCTTAACCCGGGGAGAGACAAAAGAACGGAAACTAAAATCTGAAGGAGTTGGAAAAGAGAACGTTCGCGTAGAAGAATAGAACAAGGTTCGGTAAGGGCTTGTTGGCAGTGACGTATCCGCCACACTATGAAACTTCTAACAATCAAATAAGTATACAAGTTTGGTGAAAACCGCGAAAAACTACTAACCCCAAGCGCGACGTTATACGTGTCCATTCGCGTCTTTTACCAGTAACTCGGTAACCGTATGAGCTATTGAAAAACCAAGCACACCGTTGTATTTGGGATCAAAAAAGGGTAAGATTTCGTTGGACACTTTTAGTTGTAGGAATTATTTTTAACGTCGAAATTTTTAATTCTCGGTATTTGCCCCGACCATCGTAGTTCGAAAATTGGACGCCGTCGTGCAGAATGCATAGCAGAATAGAACGCCGTAGAGAAAACGAGAATCGGCGCAGTAGGTTTGTTGAAAACCGCGAAAAACTACTAACCTCTAGTAGTTTGGCAATACGAATCTCTACGATTCACTCTTCCCTATACGACACCGAAAACAACAACACCCATAACACTCTGCCTTCTCCATATAAGCCGTTCACAGGCCAAAGTGATTAACTCGACTTTTTCAATTTTTTCCAATTTTAGTGTCAAAGCACTCGATTGATGCTTATCTTTTTATATTTGAAATAAATGTCCTTAATAATTATGCTTAACACCATTAAATGACTGTATAACTTCGTCAATTTTCTCTAGTTTTTGTTTTATGGAGTCAATCGATTTGGCAAATGAGCGGCTCGTATATGTATGACACATCAGTATCCGCTACGAAGACTCTCCCTTCCACTCCTTCTCTTTCTCCCACCACACAAGCACGCGGCTATTGGGTTTCTCGTCCTAAAAACATCCGACGTATCGATAGACCTCGCGTGCATTGTTGAGGTCCCTCGCAAAAGGGCCTGGTTCGTGTTTCTAATTTTCTGTTTTATCGCATTCTTCCTGCACACCTTAGGACTACGTAGGCAGAGGCGAAAATTTTATGATATTACAATATTTTAACCCTAACATTCACGGGGGGGGTCCTTGAATCCACAAGTTGGAAAACATTAAATTAGGACTATTTCCTTTGGGTAAAAAATTTTGAAAAACTTATTTATTGTCGTGTGCACATTTAATGATCAATAAATAGAAACATATAGTTGCTTTCAATTGTTAGAATTTATAAGGGAAGTGTACATGTGGTAAACTACACTTCCATAAAAATTTTATATGAGAAACAAATTAGAAAATTAAATTGGAACAACGTTTTTCTTTGCAAGTTGAAGCGTTTGAAGGGTTTAGAGTGGTTAAGGGGGTTTTCTAGTGTGACGGTTTCAAAAAATCGAATTTTATTTTTTTGCATATATCGAAGGTACAACTCTTTAAGAATGTACTCCTGAAGTTTTATAGTTGTATTCAATAAAATAACGAAGTTATAGCTCGTTTAGTGTGACACATCAAAGGCCGGCGATAGGGAGAATGTAAATTGCACTGAAAACTTTAAACGCGTTTTTCTCGGAACCATGTTTTATGAAATGTTTGCCACGATCTGGCAAAAACTATTGAACCAATCGAACTCAAATTTTGTACATGTCTTCGGAACATGTGTGGCTATGGTCGGTAGTAGAATTATGCCAAAATATACATTTTTCTGATTTTTGGAGCCTCTGAAAGACGAAAAAAAGTCGAAAAAATCGATACTTCGTATTCAAAGTGCCGCCATTTTTTTAATTTTCAATATTTTTCTTTTATTCTACTACCGACCATAGCGACATGCATACTAAATAAGAATCAATTGGATCTTTTTATTTTTGATAAGCAAAAAGTCGATACTTCGTATTCAAAGTGCCGCCATTTTTTAAATTTTCAATATTTTTCTTTTATTCTACTACCGACCATAGCGACATGCATACTAAATAAGAATCAATTGGATTTTTTTATTTCTGATAAGCAGAACAGCTCAAATCATGGCAACCATGGACCTACTTTTTTTTTCTTGCTCCTGTTTGACGTGTTCCACAGCAGCTGTATTTAATTATTTTTCAACAAAAAAAAATTTGTAATGATTCTTCAAGGACACGTAAATACATAGGAATAAAGCTCATGTTAATAACTGTTACCGTACTTCTGTAATAAATTAGCAAAGAAGGCCTAAAAAAACGGCCGTCACACTAGAAGACCCCCTTAAGTTGAAACGATTGAAATTTAGAATACTATTAATTAAAATGAAATATCCTTTTATTATGGCGTGTATAACCTAAGGTAACGTAAAATAATATGGTCATAGGTATTCCGGGACCAAGTACAGTTATCGTCAGGGCCGAAGAAGCATTGATAGTCATTTTGGTTCTGCTCCTTTGGGCTGCAGCAATCGCATTATTCTTCAATCGATGGGGGAAGATCAGAATGTTGGAACCATATCAACCGAAATTTCAGCAACAGCATAGACAAAGTTGTACGACACTTGAGCCAAACCAGCTTCAGGTAAGAAACACTCTGTTTACTATTTGCAAACTCTTCTTTCTAATCATTTGAAACACAGTAGGACCCCGTATAAAGCGATCAAAAAGAAAAAAGAACACACAAATTCTGAATTTGGAATTTTTGAATTTTTAGGTTAATTAAATTTGACCCAAAAAGCGATGTCGGTGGAACTTAATTTGTATTATACTTCCCGCGTTATAGGGGGTTCTATTTTTTACCAGAGCTTAGATTTATGTCAATTATACACATGCTGAAAATTTCATCGAAATAATAGATGGAGAAACAAGTGACAGGCGTCGAAAGATGTAAGAATCTTTAGATTTATTACAGTTATAGGCCGAAAGTCGTGAGAAACTACGATTTTCGATGAAATTTTCAGCATGTGTATAATTGACATAAATCTACGAAACGTGTGTTTTAAATTTTCATTACAGAATCAGATAGAAAAGTTGTAAAAAGTGACTTTAACTATTTTCTTGGCGATTCCCAGATATTGCAAGTTTCTCAAAATTTCTTATACGCGTTACCTAGCAAACTAATCCTTCTAACTTCTCAAAAAAACTCAAGTCACTTGGTACAATTTTAAAAAAGTTACACTGTTCCAAAGAGTGTCCAAATATTAATTCGAGTAACTATAATATACAGGGTGTCCCGTAACTCTTCGAAGATCCGGAAATGGGGGGTTGCTGGGGTGACTCTGAACAACTTTTTCCTTTTCCAAAATGTAGTTTGACGCTTCGTTTTCGAATTATTAACGAAAAACACTGGCCAATCACAGCGCCTGTAGTGCCCGCGCTCAGGGACGGGCGAACAGAGATTCACCCGCGCGCTATCGTGAATGACGCGTACGCGTGACTTCTCGGTTACCGATCGCTGTCAAAAAAATGTGACTTTGCACCGCTATTTTTATAAGGCTTAGAGAAATGATTTTTTACCGTCATTCCGACGTTTGTATAAATTTTTGAAAAAACTGCAATTAGTCGGAATCGCGAAGAAAATAGCGAAGGTCGTTTTTACAACTTTTATATCTGAGCTCGTAATGAAAATTTTAAAAATACGTTTTGTAGATCTATGTCAATGATACCCACGCTGAAAATTTCATCCCACGTCCCTGAGCGCGGGCTCTACGGGCGCTGTGATTGGCCAGTGTTTTTCGTTAATAATTCGAAAACGAAGCTTCAAACTACATTTTGGAAAAGGAAAAAGTTGTTCAGAGTCACCCCAGTAACCCCCCATTTCCGGATCTTCCAAGAGTTACGGGACACCCTGTATGTGCATGTTGATGATACACAATTCCATCCTGGAATTCTCCTTCCATCCTGAGAATGCTTCTGAAGCTGCTGCTAACATAGAATCTGATCTTATAGAGATTCACAATTGGTCCAATCCTTCTGAATCCTGTCTCCTGTTAGCTGGTACTTCCCTCTCTCTCTTCAATCACTCCTTTCCTTCTAAATCAGAATTAAAAACCTCGAACGTGCTCATATTCGTGTAAGGTTACTGTACTCGCGGTGATCTTGCGATCTTCCGAGTTTTGCTGAATTTGCACGCTTGTGCCGACTAATTACAATTCGAAGGACCACTCCCGTGTATCGGGAGGCTAACTAATTTGCTCGTGTTTGGTTTCCGGAAGATTTCAACGTTGCTTGTTGCTAGCCGAATGGATTCTGATTTCGAGGAAAAGCTCGAAGATACCTCGGCCAGGATACATTTGGCGGGGGTGAGACATGCGGATTGGTTATTACAATTTCGACTTCGACAAGGGAGGTGGTTGACTATACGCGATTGGCAAACTATTAAACAAAGAACGAACTAAAGGACGCCCCCAAGTCAACGGTCACTCTCAGGTGTCGTCCGCACTCTTGAGTGACGCGCGCGGAAAGTCGCGTGTCTCGAAGCAATAAACGCAGCAGGTAATAAGTCTGGGCAGCGCTTCGTCGCTAACAAAAGCATACCAAAGTGGAGACCAAAAACCCGAGAAGTTAAAATATAACAAACAGATGTGGACGAGCGCCACGAGAAGAAAAGCATCGAACTTCTAAATAAACGTTAAAGTGCTCGATAGCCTCCCAAATTTACAACTGCTGCGAAGGACCGAATAATTTCCAGACCCGTGCCTGGAAAACGCCGTAAATCTAATAGGACGACTAAACAGTTACTTTACCTTCTGCGTGATATCTTATCCGGTTACCAAAAACTCCGTATCTCTCAATTACTCGTCCAATCTTGATATCATCTGATGCACGATGAGATGCAGACACGTCTATGCATCTGATCTTACTTTGTAGTAAGATGTTTGTCGTCTCGTCCAGGATCCAATGCATGCAAAATTCCTGTCAACGCTTGTTCTTCTTATTTCGTAAGTTCGACCGTATCACTCTTGCACGATTCTAAATAGTAACCCATGTCACGTACACACGGATCCCACACCTCTGTTATCTAGTTCACAAAATTCTTTAATCCGACGCTCTATCCTACTTCCTACTTTGCAGAAAGTTTGAACTGTATGTACAAACTCACATCACGACACTAGGCCTCGATCTTACTTGAGCCACTCAGAAGCTAAAGTGACTAACTCTGTCGAATTCAATTTACTATATTTTTTTTTTTATTTACGAAGAATTAAGCACCAAGCATGTGCTTTGATACTGAAATTGGAAGAGTTTCAAAATGTGGAGTTTGTCATTTTGGCTTCTGAGTGGCTCATTTATCAATTCCATTGCATCGCTGTACCATGGTTTGCTTCTCCTTCGAATATACAGTTACTCTTGAAAATATTTGGACACTAACGAAACAACTGTTAAATACAGTGTAGGCAAAAATATTCGAGATATTTAACTCTTTGCGGTGTTAGATTACGATGTTTAGTAATTGAAATAAAAAAATAATAATTTTATTTTACTAAATTTTGTACACGAAATCTTATAAGTTCTAAAGCACTTAGTTTCTATACGTATAGAGCCGTTCGGTCTTCACCGAACAAGCCTCTTTTGTCTTCCTTCCCGTTTAGCCCGCGATATCCGATTCACCGATATGCTGGCGGCCGGAGATCTGTGTAAGTTTGCGATAAGACTGCATGTGTTTTAATAATACTCATTAAAATTTTTTTTTTTTGGTAACAAGTAATATTTAGGTACTTTCTTTTATGATCTCCAAATTATTTAAAATTTATCAATAGAAGAATATAATTTTTTAAATTGTATATCGTCAGTCAACAGTGACTGACGCGTCCGAACGGAAAGTGTAGTGTCAGTCACCGGTGACTGACATGGCGCTTAACGTGTTAAGGTCCGTAGGTCTTATCTTGGGGTAGTGGGAGTACGGAAAGGTCCAACGGTCTTGGGGCTTGATGAGTATGACTCGGGGTTGATAAATAACAGTAAGGCGTATGAGTAATTGTGTAAAAAGATAATTGTTAGGGGTTACTAGGCGGTGGATATGAAATGTGTCTATCTTACATATTTGTTAAGGTTAGAGCGGTATCTAACAGCGGTCGTATTTTCCGTAGGCATCTTAGTCGTACTGGTCGGAATTATTTTTTGGTACCGTCCACTCGGTTAATTATTTCCTAAAAAACGTATAAATTCAAATGAGTTTGTTTAAGCTGTGTGTATATTATTTTTCCCCCTCCGTTTCTGCAGGCAATATGGTCCAGAGAGTGTTTAGCGTTAAAATACTAAAAATATTACGAATATGAATAATATGAACATTATTCTACGAATAATGCCCATGATTCATTTTTGCTAAATGTAATATTTGTGTAACACAGTAATTGGACATAATTTCAATCAATTTGTATTACAATGTCATGCACAAAAATGCATTGAACTAACAACGCGTAATCCTAAAGTATAGTAAATGACGTTTCATAACGAAAAAGTATCAACCTTGTTGGAACTTTCGTTCTGTGCACAGTAGTTCAAGTAGTCTTCCTCTTTTGTATATAATAATTAACATTAAATTTATTCTAATAATAATAGAAAAGAAAAACTGACAAATGTGTGGTAACTAAATTATGCAACAGTGTAATTGAATTAAATAAAAAATTCCCTTCGGTTTTCTATGCACGTGGAACCTTCTAACCGAACTCTTTTCACTCGCCTAATCACACATACCAACTTACAGAAATTATATTCTCCAACAAACTCTTATAATCAACCGAAATACGTCATTAAAAACACAAGCTTACAAAGTGTGTTCCAATAAATGTGATAGAACTTTGAATAATCACAGCCGCCATGTTTGTCCTTGAATTGTCAGAGTCATCTGACACTTGTATTCAACAGTGCTTGACAAGTTATCGTGGATGATACTCGTGCCACACTTCAGCTGAAACTATCGTTTTACCGAGATCGAAGTTCAATGATAGGATTATTTCGAGAAATGCAACTGTCAACTCGCGACTCGACTCCATTAGACATTTTCTTGCGGGGCCACGTTAAGTCTCTCGTTTATTCGTTGTCGATCTCAAAGCAAATATCATTCGTGTTATTAATGAGATACAACCTGATTTATGTGCCAGAGTTATCGAAAATTGGGTTTGTCGTATTCGCCCCACCAAACGCAATCGTGATGGTCATTTAAATGATATTGTATTTCGCGTTTAATGCCATCGAATGTACTTGGAGATAAAACAACGAGCACCAGCACCGTTTTATCGCAATTCAAAATTTTATCGCTATTATTGGACAACCCTTTATAATGACCGAATACCTTTGGGAGTAACCGTAGGTATGTATATATTACTTCCGCTCGCTACTTCAATCTAGTCCCACTTGAAATCTGCTCTCTTCCTTGTTTCTCCTCGTTGAAATATGCACTGAAATCCTTCCTCCTTAATCTGTCTAACAATTACTCTTAAACCCCGATTCTAGTAGTAAACCTCTAACTTCGAATTCTTGTTCTCACCATTAATCATTTTCACATTTCACCTCTGCTATTTAAATGGTTTATATTGGGAATAGATTATATTTTGAATTTTTCTACTGCGAGTTTCTGTG